AGAAGACTAAAGGCCTAGGCCAGGCAGCCAGCTCTTCCTGCAGAAAAGTAGGAAGACTTAGAGACTGATCCCAGCCAGCCTTTGACAAGGGTCCCCCAAACTAAAGCATTCAGGACTACGTGGCAGCCCTGCTCCAGACAGCAGACTAAGGGCACCCCTAGGTGCCAGGCTGGCCAGACCTCCCATCCCCACCGCGGCTGCTGCCTAGACCAGTGCACATTGCCTCTCTGGTCTCTTGGACTCCAACTGTCCTCCACAGGTTTCCAAAGCTGATAGAAAACAGAACTAGTCGTTTCCCTCAAAGTTACACTTAAAAGGAATCCCTGCTACCTAGAGGACAAAGCCCAAACTCCTGAGCGCATCTTCTGAGGCTCCCACACCTCCTTTGATCGCCACCTGCCCCATCTCCAGCTCCAGCCCCAGCTCATGACTGAAGCGACCTGGAGGAGGCAGGCTCCACCCCACCTCTGTTCCCCTCGCTAAGACACGTCCTCTTCCTGCATCATGCAACCGTTTACAGAGCCCAAGGCAAGAACCACATTCGACCCCTATGAAATTCCACCACGCAACTTTCCTAAATCCCTTGTCAAACAAATCGAAATATATGCTAGCATTCCAACTTTGTGTCCCATAAAAATTTAATAAACAGATCACCAAGTCAGAGTGACTGTGAGCTAGGTCTGGAGCACACCCCCAGAAATCTCCAGAATAACCCTGACCTATTAACCTTTGGGTATGGTTATTAACTGCTTGAAAATTTTATTCAGTATCCTAATATAGGACGGAGCAAAAGTAGGTTTAGTTATCCATATAGAAAATACAATAATAACAACACAAGAATAAACTCTGTGTTTGGAATACTCACAAGTGTAAACCTACTTTGCCCCACCCGTATTCAGCAACACTTTCATATTGTGAGTGTGGAGAGCTTGTGAAGGCAAGTGCTCTCCCATCTCCATGATTATCAACCCAAAAACCCAGAAGGGCTAGTCTGACAGGCCCTGTTCTGAACTGTGAACCCATTCTGGCTCCTACCAATTCTTTTTGCCCAAGGTCAAGCCAAAATTCCTACCAGACACTGGAATATACCATAAAGCCATAATAAGTAAGTACACACAGGCAGGTCAATGGATTAGAATAGAACACAAGGTCAAGAAATAGATCCAAATACATACAGGAATTTAGGATTTAACAAAGGTGGTATTTCAAAGGAAGAAATGATGGATTGCTTAATAAATGACATTTAGACAAAACAGTAGGGTTGGATCTGTACCTCATGCTTTACATTAGGGTAAGTTCCAAATGGATGGAAAATTTAAATGTAAAAACTAAAACCATAAAAGAATTAGTATTATGAAAGTATGGCATCGTAAAAATACTAGAAAAAAATGTTAGCTCCTTGTAACAATCTCAGAATGGTGAAGACTTTTTAAAAATATTACTCTAGCCTGGCCTGCGTGGCTCAGTGGTTGAGCGTCGACCCACGAACCAGGACATCAGTTCGATTCCCGGTCAGGGCATATGCCCGGGTTGCGGGCTCGATCCCTAGTAGGGGACGTGCAGGAGGCAGCCGATCAATGCTTCTCTCATCATTGATTTTTCTCTCTCCCCACCTCTCTGAAATCAATAAAAACATATTTTAAAATAAATAAATAAAAATATTTCTCAAAACCTAGATGTTTTAAGACTGATAAATTCAATTAACAAAAATAAAAATTCTCATATGGCAAAAACTACTCTAAGAGTCAAAAGACAAAAGCAAACTGTGAAAAAGAATGTAACTCATATATAGACAAAGGGCAAATTTTCCTAATATCTAAAAAGCTATGAAACAAGGAAATAAATCAACTGAATAGGCAAAGCATATGGGTATTTCACAGAAAGGAAATTCAGAGAGATCTGTTTGTTTGTTCCTGTTGGTTTTTCATCCTGAGCCGAGGATGTTTTTTCCATTGCTTTTCAGAGAGTGGAAGAGAGAGAAACATCGATATGAGAGAGACACGACAATGGGTTGCCTCCTGAATGCGCCTGACCACAGCCAGGGATCGAGCCTGCAACCGACGTACATGCCTTTGGCCAGAATCGAACCAGGGACCCTTCAGTCCAAGGGCTGACGTCCCAACCACGGAGTCAAACATGAAAATAGTTCGAACTCTCTTAAGAGAGAAATATAAATTAAAATACACTGATGTGCCATTTTCCATCTAACATATTGGCAAAGCTGACAAAGTTTATTAACATACATTGGTACTAGTTTGGGGAAACGCTCATATTCCTGGTGGGGCAAAAATTGGTACAATATCTAAGGAAGGACTCAGCAGTTCTACTTCCAGGGCTTATCCTACAGATAAATACTTATGTACAAAATGACATGTGCTCGTGTTGTTTGTAGACATGTTCACTTGTCTTTTGGCAGCAAAAGATAGGGAAATGATCTAAATTGGTCAGGGACTGCTCAAAAAAACTATGGTATAATACAAATCTAGGCAGCTATATACAAAAACAATGAGGAAGCCCTGTATGAACTGAAATGGAATGATCTTCAAGTTGTGTCATCTATCTTCAAACATTATCTAGAAAAAATTTTTATCTAGAATCCAACCACTTCCCCACCACTTGGCCCAAAATATCATCCTTACTGGCTGACTTAGCCTAACTGGTGTCTCTGCTACCATCCTTACTCCCTTTCATCTAGTTCCCAAGAGCAGTCACGCCCTGTTAAGACATAAACCACATTATGCCAAGTCTGTGCTCAAAACCCTCCAGTGGTTTCCTACCTCACTCAGGGTAGAAGCCACAAGCCCTACATCACTGTCTCCCCCTCTTGTAACCTCTCTCTGACCTCTTCTCCTTTTTCAACCCCACTGGCCTCCCTACTTTCCTCTAACACCCAAGAATGTTCCTGCTTCAGAAGCATTCCTTTGCTGTGCCCTCTGCCTGGAAAACCCTTCCCCCAGGGGTCTGCACTGCTCTTCCTCAACTAATTCAGGTCTCTATTCACTGTCACCTCAGCCAGACCTTCCTTGACCATCCTACTTAAAATTGCAGACACAGGGCGCACACACACACAAATGTAGTAACATGGTGGATATATGGGTGTTCTCTGTATAATTCTTTCAACTTTCCTATTTGAAATTCATAATAAAATGTTTTTTAAAAATACACCTACACAAACCAATTCCCCTTTCCTTGGTTTCCCACTGCACCAACATCTAACATCCACTGTACTTATTGTCTACCCCACACACAGCAGAGAATTTAAACCCCATTGGGGCAGAACAGGAATTTTTGTGTTTCAGTCACTGCTCTACGTCTTGTAAAACAAGTGCCTATCGCTGTACCAACATCAAATTCCTGGTTTTAACATTGTACTATAATCACGTAAGATGTAATCATTGGGGGAAACGGGAAAGGGTGCCTTGCCACTCTCTCCCTCTCTGCACTATCTTTGCAACCTTCTGTGGGCCAACCATTACTTAAAAGTACATATATTACAGAGAAAACAGTGCTGAGTACCTGATTGATACTCAGGATTTGTTCACTGGATAAATCCAACTTGGTGAAATTAAGTGATTTATATTAAGTGATAATATACTACCGTACTTGTGAAAAATAAAGGGAAGGATTTTTATACACAATTGCTTATGTATGCTACATTATCTCTGGGAGAAGAGATAAAAACTGATCATACTGCCTGCTCTAGGAGACAGAATAGGGTGAAACTTCAACAAACGTTTTGTACCTCTTGGTTTCTGAACTATGTGAATGTTATCTATTCGCAATACAATGTAAATTTTAAAACTTTCTGTTCTAGCCTCTTCCTCAGGGTCAATGTCAACTTTATCTACAGTTTCCAGAATTCAGATTCTTTACATTTTTAAAAATCACTATTGCAGGCGTTTTCACACCTCTGCACCCATCCTTGCAATGATCCTTACACCTTAAATGGCCCTCTCCACCTAAGAAAAAAACTCTTGAACTTAAATGGGGGGGGGGAGGGGGGACGATGACAAAACAGCTACCAAAAATATTTTAGAGATAAATAGGAAACTTGAATGTCACAATTTAGTACATACAATATTACTTTGTTACTGTGACTTTCCTTAGATCTGAGAGTGGCACTCTGATTGTGAAGAATAATGTCCCTAACCCCAGGCGTTAATGTTGAAGAACTGAGGTGAAGGGCCATGAGGTCTGCAAGTTACTTTTTACGTGGTCCCAAAAAACACACACACATATATAAATACATGTCTGTATGCAGATACAGATATTATAGAGACAAAAGCTAACATGAGAAAATATTAACAACTGATTAACCTATGCAAAGGTATTATACTATTCTTCCAACTTTTCTGCAGGTTTAAAATTTTTGAAAATAAGTTGGGGGAAATTTTCAAACCCTTAAGTTTCCCAAAATTGGTTCAAATGTCACTCAGAGAGGCTCTTCAGGATACACGCAGCTGGGAAGTCACTCCCTTCTCTGCATTTCCAAGGTCCTTTACTCTTGTGTTCATCCTTGAGTGAGTGAAAGAATCATGGGGCATCGACCTCAAGGCTATAAATTTCAATACCCTCAAGTATAAACCTCTGGGTTTATGCATCCCAGCAAGGCCTAGAATACACAGGACTGCTTAAAGGGAGACACTGGCTGGGAAATGTCTAAAACTCAAGAATGGGTAGGAAGGCCTGGGGTGAGCTTATCGAATTCCTGACAGGTAGGAGTGGGGGGACAGGGAGCTGGAACACTGTCACTAGAAGGACCAGCCCCAGAACAGAGCCCATCCCCCATCCAGTATGGATGCCCCTTCAATGTGGTACGCCCAAGGTTCAAATTTCATAGAATTCAATAACTAAACTCTCTTTATGTCAATGGCTCCTCCTCTGGACAACGCAAGAGCTATGGAGACACTTGAGGAATACTCTGGATACCTTGAAAAGCCCCCACACAAAGTGGGGCTTCTGGCTGGGGGCACAGCTGTGGCCAAAGGGAGAAGCAGCAGTCGATATCCAAGTACATAACTTTATTGGAAACGGGGTGTGTAGGAGAGGGCTAGGAATCGGGCTCTGTGACAGGTGGTGGCTTCTCGTCATCAGGGGGACAATCAATGAAGTCAGCCAGCATGGCAGCTGTGTCGTCCTGCTCCTTTTAGGGACAAAGACATAAGATTCAAACAGTCTCACATGCATACATGGAAGAGATGGATGGGACAAAGCTCCTCCCTAACACAAACAGCTGCGCCCCTCCTGCCTCCCGCCGCCAGCCTTGCCCCCACAGTGCCCTCCCTGCCGGGCCCACTCACCTTTTCCTGGGGAGCAGCGGTCTCGGGCTCAGGCTCCATTTCTGCTGCTGCAGATGCGTCTGGTGGGGGTGGGACCTCGTCACCCCCACCCTCAGTCCCCTCTTCCAGCAGGGCTGGGGGAGCACAGGGCTCCTCTTCAACAAGCTCCTGAGGGAGCCCTGCTGGGGGGCTCCCCCCTTCCTTCTCCAGCTCCTCCTGGGAGGGGAGCACCTCAGGGGCCAGTGTGGGTGCTGTCTCAGCCCCCGGCTCCTCCTCGGCCCCCGGCTCCTCCACTTCTAAGAGCAGCCCGGGCTCCGGCTCTGGCTCGGGCTCGGGCTCCGGCTCTGGCTCCGGCTGCCCCTTGGGGGACTCGGCGGCGGGCAGAGCTGGGGGCAGGCTGGTGGGCGGGGGCCCTCCTTCCACCTCCGCACCCGCTGAGCCGAACCCCAGCTCCTCCACCTCTTCCAGCTCCTCCTCCTCCTCGTCCTCCTCCTCCTCCTCCAACTCGCCTTCCTCCTCCTCAAACTCCTCCTCAAACTCCTCCTCCTCCTCCTCAAAATACTCCTCCTCTTCCTCCTCCTCCTCCTCAAAGTCCTCCTCCTC